TGTGTAGCTGTGTGTGCTGATTGTTATACAGAGCTGTAGTAGAGAAGGTTATACTGGTAGAAGGCATTTGATTTTGACTTTCAGCTTCTTTCAGAGCCTATTTCTTTCTCAAAGTCAAATCACATTCCTTTAAGGAGGATAAACCGAACAAAGAGGACACTGCGCATGAAGCAAATGACACAACAAGAAATATTGCTTTAAAATAACACAAATGCACAAAATGTTCCAGTTCCTCCTGCCTTCCTTGAATGGCAAGACCAAATAGTGAATCCCATTAGCTGAAAGAGGTGTAGAGCTACTGCTACAGGAAGAAACACTAATAAAACAGAGAAACAGATACGATCTAGAGAGGGTGAGTGTTCGTTGTGTGCAAACTCAAATGAATAAATTAAAATGATCAATTTTTGTAAGAAATACACATTTGGAAAGAAAGAAAAAAAAATTCATATAAATACAGTCATATAAAGATTGGGATCCAGACATAAAGCGCTGTAGAACATTGGGAAATACTTTTGACTGAAATACATACACAAGTTGTTTATTCCGAATGTCATCTTTTTTCAGTGAATGTATAAGATAAGCATCATCCTCACCTTGAGAATACATTGTTCTTCAGTTCCTCTGTTAAATGAATTCACTCAATGTTACGCCTATACTGTCTTGTTTCGGGGGGAGTCATCATTCCAAAGGTGTCTGCTAAGCAAAATATTGTGATGAATGGAACGCAGATGAAACCAGCAGGAGAGCTGTCGGGCCTGTCAGAGAGAGAGGCACGAGCACTGCAGACAGACAGACAGAAAGACAGACAGACAGGGACAAAGAAGAAGTATTCTGTAAGATGAATTGATTATCTGCATCAGATTCTTAGATTTAAAGGTCCAGTGTGTAACATTTAGGAGGATCTATTGTCAGAAATGGAATATAATATTCATAGGGATGTTTTCATTAGTGTATAATTACCTGAAAATAATGTTCAAAGAATGTTTTTATCTACAGACACTGTGGGTCACCTTCCGTGGAGGATGTTGAACCGGCATGTTTCTACAGTAGCCCAGAACAGGCACAAAAGAAAAGGCTCTAGATAGGGCCTTTAGCCTTTTGTGAGTGTTTCTTGGCCACTTATTTTCTCCTTTGCACTTTGAAGGTGAGAGTGAAGGGAGTGCATTCTGCAACATAACCACTAGATGCCACTAAATCCTACACACTGGTCCTTTAAAAATACAGAATGCATTTAAATAAAATCTATAATGAATGTAAAATAAAATGTAGATTTAAATGTTTGGGGGCTCAAATTAGCTTCTCTGGATACAGATCCAGACTGTGTATGCACAGTTAAGAATGCAAGTTAAGATTAGGGAATGCTTGTGGTCTCACTCCCAACTCACTCTACTAACCCTCTACTGCCAGTTGGTCATTAGCCCTCTACTTTTAGAATCTGACGCTGTGGGTAACCCTCTGGCGTTATTTGACGTAGTATAAAATGCGACAAAATCAGCATACGGAGGTGGTGTTCATGAAGATATCTACCTGACTAACAGGTTCAGCATGTTGAGTACTGAGAGATTTGTAGACTACAGGGAAAATCTGAAGATCAATTCGGACATTTAGGTGAAACCAAGGGAGACACTGCAGCTAATGTGGTTGGATATTTTAGGACGGATGAGCTGTGAGGAAGGCTGGACAAGGTTTTGAGAGTTCTACCTGCTGGTGTTGGAGGCATTCAGTCAGACATCCAAAAAGAAATGGCTGCAAACTGAAATCAACATATTATAATGTGTAAGTTTTGCTGTTAGATAGATTTAATGTGAGCAGCTGAAGACAAGGACAAACCTCGCTGGCAAAAAAAGGGGTAAAAAGAATTTCCAGACTTGTTGGAGCATCAAACGCAATGGAAATCAATGACAGCCTTTAAATAAGCCACTGCCCAAAAGCTTCAAGCTCACATCCTTGACTGCTTTCACCTTTTCAGAAACTGTGATGCCCTTCTTCAAATAACTCACTTTAACTGAGCCTCTCTCTCTGTTTCCATTCCCCAAAACACACACACACACACACACACACACACACACACACACACACACACACACACACACACACACACACACTCTGCTCCAGCTCATAATCCCTCAGGCTAGTTTTGATTGTTAGTTAAATCTTTGTGCTCCTTCCCCAAGAAAAACTCCAAAACCTTTGGCTCTGAAATGAGCTAAACTGTGAGGCGAGCGACTGGGTGGGTTTTCTTTTTTCCCCACATTCTGCACCTCTTTCCCCTCTTCCTCAGTGAAGTGTTTCTATCCATTATGCGCAGTGACATTCTTTGTCTGAAGGACACTGGTGTTTGCCAAAGAGCTTCCGCTGGGCCGGCCCAGCCGTTTAATTGAAACCGTAAAAGAACTTTCTTTTGGCACAAAAGCCCTTATGTGGGCTTTGTCGCAATTAGATTGACCAGAAAGGCCAGCGAACCTGATAAAAAGGGATTAGGAGAAATGTATTGCCGGGATATTATGTTGAGTGTGACACGGCAGCTTGTGGAAGAATTAGTTACCCGTCCTGGATTGGTCCAGGCAGATGGACAAACCAATGGTTAATGGAGTGGTCAAAGGCTACGCTTAAAACCCAATTTCAGCCCAACAAGAGCTGTGGAACATTGTGAACACTGGCCCAACTCAGCAGCACAAGTGGTACAGTAGTACACTGCCTCTCTCACCTACAGTCCAACACTCTCCTGCAGCCAGGCGGAACTTCATTATACTGTAAACGTGCAGAGCTTACCCAACAGACGGCGAGAAGGAAGTGTGCCTGAAAATCTGAAATGTTATTAAATGTTATTAGATGATCAGCTCTTAAATGCCCAATTAATCTTTAATTGATGCTGTTGGTTTGCTTTGGGGCTACATAACTGGATGCATAGATCTTAACAAATAATCCTCGACAGCACAACAGCCTGATTCATGTCATTATTAGAATAAGGAAGGAGTTATACTGTGTTTATACTTGTTTGTACACCAGGTTTAGGAAAATACAGTTGATTGATTTGTATTGATCAAATTACTAATGTAATGTGAAACACGTCCGCTGTAACAAATCAACAGAAGATGATTACCTCATGGTATGTTTCTAGCATTGGACACTTGTAGTGATTTTGATCAATAAATGGCTTTGCCCTCCTACAACCGAGCCCCCGGGAAGAGCACTGGGTTCTGAAGGCAATTTGACATAGTGGCCAAACCATGTAATTACTGCAATGGCATCCGTCACGCGATGTACAGTGGCCCCATAAGACTTTCTCCCATAAGGTTACATTGTGAAAGAAGTGGCAGCATCTTAACCCCCGTGAGATGACTCCTATTACTGTTAGAATTTGATCCATTCAGTCTGGTAACATTTTTAAAGTCTAGAACATTCGCATGATTAAATTATTTATCTCCATTTAAGTTAATGGAGGGCTTCATGCACCATTGAGCAGCTTTTATAGGAATGACTGGTCCTGTGTATCATTACTCTGCAGAACCTTTTAACCTATGGCTTGTTTTGGTTTTACAACCAGCAACTACGCACTCATCAACCCCCTTTCCAGCAGGAGGATAAACCCATTGCACACTACCTGCCCCGCACCAAACAGCAGACAGACACAGAGACGAGCTGGTGAACACAGTGAAGCATATAGCAGCTAGAGAGACTCAATAGTTGGTGGACCAAAAGAAAGCTAAAACAGTGGGAATACTGGTATTAGATGGTCAGAAGCATTACTCCAAATGAGTGACAATTCAGTCGGCATAACTTTTCATTCTTGTTCTGGTAAAAAAAAAATCTATTAATGCAGCTTTAAGGGGTAATTTTTAATTATTACGGCATTTATTTAAGTAAATGTTAAGTACTGTATTACTATACAGACAGAATATATGTATATATATGTATTAACATTCCTGGAAAAAATTTGACTTTTGCAAAAATGTGATATAGGATTTCTTACAGCTAAGCGGTCAGCAGTCTTGTTGTTGATAGCGCATGGTTAAAGTGTTTTTTATAATTGTGTGCATAGTAACATTTTTTGTGTGTATTTCCAGGAGCATTGCCACAGAAACCTAGTTTGTAATACTGCAAATGTATAAATATTGCAATACTTTATTAGTACTGTACTGTATTGTGAAATGAGTACTGTTTCTTACTTGACGTTTGACACGTTTGACAGGTATATTTGATAATAATTACATACTTTTGCTTTAGTAAAATGCTGCATTCAATACTTTTACTTGTAATTGATTATTTTGACGTTATTTTTATTATTATTTTTTGACGCGTTATTGCTGCTTAAGTAAATAATCTAAATACTTCCTGCAACACTGCTACATATCTAATAATCTAATCTATCTAACAGACTGTAATCCTTCATTTTCATAAAAGTATTTCAGATGACTTTATTTTGCTTGTGGCTATTTGATATCATTAATTCTGGTCATAAATCAGCCTGACCCCAACAGACAAAGGTCATCCACAATCCTTCTGTTGATCATTTCAGTGCACAGTCCTATTAGTGAATCTGTTTAGTAAATGTACTAAAAATGACTGATCTGATCTGAATCTGATTGCTTGAAGATGATTTTACTTTAAACCCACTTTTACCGTGACATGATTTTGCATCCACAGCAGGCCGCTTCAAGGTGGATTAAGGCTTGCCGCTGTGAAACCAAAGTTATTCTCAGCTCCATCACGGCCCTGTCCTCAATACCAAAGCACTTTATAAATAGGCAACCAAATAGAGCACCGTTACATCTGAGGACTGTCTTGTGTTTCATTGTGCAGTCACACTGAGGTTCTATAAGAGCGTTGCTAAAGATAATCACGTGCTCACTGTGTTTGATAGTACCCACATTTAACAGCTAACAGATTTTGAAGGCTCTCTGTGGGTCAAATCTTAAACTTTCTCCTCATTTAAAAAATTTACTTGAAAGCTAATTTTCCCACGTTTAATTCATTTTCCTGTTTCTGTGTCATTGCAGGTTGAGTTAAGGCGTGTGACCAGCTTGGCATCAGACCATCTCACTCAGCGAGGGAAGAAGAGAGCGGCTGTGTTCAAACTGCCCTCCAGTGGAGACAGTGCATGCTGCACCCACGCTGTCCCATTTTAGTCTCATTGCCCAGAGTGTTTCTTATTGTTAACCACCTTTGCTACCACTGCAGTCACTTTAACATAGGTAGCAGAGGATAAGTGTACCAACAGAGAAGAGGTGAGTATTCTCAGTTCACTACTTTTAATACTAATGAGGCAGGTTTATTGAAAGGTGGATGTTTCTCCCCCTGCTGCCCTCTGAGAGCAATAAAGTGACTGCGAACACTGGTGGTGTCAGTGGCTTGTTCCTTTCACTGAGTCACCGAAGATGAACTCCTGACTTCACACTGCCTCTGTGCTGTGCCACAGCACTGTGAGTGTGTGTGTGTGTGGGTGGGGAGGGTCAGCTGGTGTTGTGAATCAGGCCGCTGAAGTGTCAGACACGGCTTCTTCACAACACCAGGGTTCCTCCCTACCACTTCCTGCAGGGATATATGGCACTTTAACAAGATAACGGCACTGTCTCTCTTCAATTACTGCAGATTAGAATATAGAAAATATGAGTACTTTTAAGAAATGAAGGTTGAGATGACACCTGTAATCATCTCTAACTGCTCCCTGCAAAAAAATGTAATTTTAGGAAGTGGATACTGTATTTTCATATTATAACTGATGTGTCCAAAGCTGTTTAATGTGCCATAATAAAAGTCTGTTGTTTAGTCATAATAGGCTTATCTTCTTTTAAAAAAGGTTCTGGGCAAAATGCCTAAAAAGAATTGCAGTGATTTTTCTTGTAAGACTGTAACACTTCACTTTCAAGAAAATTCCTGAAATGTAAAAGAAAATGTTCCCAAATTAAATTATTATTATTGTTTCTTGTGTTACAGCAGGGTTTCTGTAGATTTCATCCAGGGTTATTGTAGTTCATTAAAACTAAACTAACAACAAAAACTTGTGACAAATAATTGTAGTTAACTGAAACTATACTTTGGAAAAAACCTGCACTATCTGAAAATATATTGTGTACTTATAAAATAAACAGGACATGTCTTTAGTTTTGTTCTTTGTCAATTTGATCAAATGTGTCAACTCAATGAGCATGAGCATGATATTCTGAAATTATTAAATCTTGCCCCTGACAAATGCCCCCATATTATAATTACAAAAAGAATTAAACTAACACTAAAACTAAAACTAAACATTTTTAAACAAAGAAAACTAAACTGAAACAAGCAAACCCACTCTAGAAGCTAACTGATTCTGTATTCTGTATTTTTAAATTAATGCAATTAAAGACCTATTTTATGTACATACAGGCAAAAAATAAAAAAAATAAAAACTAATAGTATGAAGGATGATTATTGGATTTTAGACTTCTTAAGCTCCCACAGACACCCTGTAAAACACATCTTTATGCCAGATTTAAGACTAAATTACTTATTTAGATATTTTGCAACATTGTTAGTGAACTGTCTTTTTGCTGAATAGGACCGTGTCTTATGAAGAGTGCTCTAACACCAGACAATGGCTGGACTCTGTCCATACGTACAGTGACTGCTGGCAGCACATCTGTCTGTGCAGCTTCTGTCTTCAGTAAATGTGTGAGCGTTAAATAAATGCTTCATGGCTAGGGGAACTGTGTGTTTGTCTCATTATTACTGTAACACTCATTAAAGAACACTTCTGATGCATTGTCACATAATAAAAAAAGTACACAAAGGTTGCATTGTACAGCTTTTACTACATGACACACACACACACCACACACACACACACACACACACACTTACAGTACTGTCTGACATTACATGGAGCATAAACATATGCCACATCTGCAAAGAACAGCAACATGGGATCACTACAGACATTTCCACCAATCAGAAGAAGTAGCACGTGCCATTACACTCACTCACAATGTCAAAATGAGATAGATAGATAGATAGATAGATAGATAGATAGATAGATAGATAGATAGATAGATAGATAGATAGATAGATAGATAGATAGATAGATAGATATTGCTGTTTCATTGCTTCTCCTTTTGTATACGTTCATGCGTAGAATAAAGGCATTTTTAAAAAGACTTACTGACAGCGGAGGGAGGGAGAGAGGGAGGAAGCTCTTTGGATGCAGATAAATAAAAGCTTGGCAAGAGACAGAGAAATTGATGAAAGAAAGATGAAGGCACAGTGAAAATATAAAACCAGGCTTGTGTCAGGGGGAGCTCACTGTCGCTGGGATGGTTTAGATGGTCATTTAATGAGGCCATGAGACATCACACACTGGTATGCTTAATCTGGGATACTTCATTCAGGTAGGCAACAAATAACTTGGTCCCTTCGATGTAGTTGTACCTGCGAGAAGACAGTTAAAGGAAGACAAAGGTGAGGAAGCTGTATGAAGTGTCACAGAGACAAATCTGAATGTTGGACTGGTTTTAAATGGGGAAAATCGCCAACATGTCAGTCTTCTTTATGTCTACAATCACTTTCTACAAATGCGCACATTATACCTTCTTAGAAATCCCAAAGCATGGAAATGATTTTACAAATAGTTAGGAAGTCAGTCCTGATCCAGTATGCAACTTGTAAAGTGTGATGTAGAAACTTGAAGCCACCAGTGCACATCCACTGAGAATGGACTTTACAGTGAAGTAGGAGACATCTTGTGTCCAGCAGTAAAACTTTAGAAATGAACAACATTTGCATATTCACAGATTCTGGAATTTTTAATGAGGTTGAAGGAGGAGATTACTTTTTAAGAATATTACTGTAGAAATTATATATTTTTTTGACACACATTATTGTTCCAAGCATACTGCATGTCTACTTTTAACTTAATCCTTTTATCCTGGCATCCCCATTATTTTGCAATTATATGTTCTTCATATTTGGTGAAGATATCCAAGCATGTGGATAATTGAGAGGAGTATAAGACTGTGTGCGCCCTGAAGGCTCAGTTTCCTGCTTCTTTCCCTCTGAATAAATCCCAGCTTTGCTTCTGAATCTTGTCCAACAGCCTCAATTGAAAATATGAACTAGTACAGGTTTTACATAAAAGTTTTAAGGAATCAGACCTGCTCATTTTCTCATTCTGGGAGTGCAGCCCGTCATCAAAGCCTCCGATGGGCATCATGATGATGCTTTTCCCTGTCACATCCTGGAAGGTTCTGGCAATAGGGATGGTGCCGCCCTCACGGATCAGATCAGGATCCATGTCAAAAACTGGAGAGGGCAAGACATTTTATATCAGAGTGTAATGGACATAAACTCAGGTTTCTTACCACAGAATAAAAGAGCTGGACAAGAATTAGCGCATGTCACTTAAGCAAGATTTCCTAAAGCCCTTTTAAGCACAAAGATTAAAAACAAGATCAACAGTGATAAAAAACGAATTGCAGTAAAAAATATACACACAATGGAAAAAGCATAAAAGAAAAGCTTAAAGCAGTGATAAAAAGTAACACCAAACAAACACCTTGTAGTCCTGGTAGCAAAACATTCTCTTGTTTTTTTTAATCCAAGTTACAGAAGACAGCCTGGCCAATGATCTCAAATTATAGTGCTACAGGTTTAATGGCCAGTGGTGCAGCTTCATCCAAGACAGTCAGGGCTTTAAAGGACCAGTATGTAAAATGTAGGGGCATCTAGTGGTGAAACTACAGATTGCAACCATTTGTGGAAAAACACGGAAGGTCTTATCTAGAGCCAGTGTTTGGTTTGTCCATTCTGGGCTACTGTAGAAACATAGTGGTTCAATATTGTGGCCTTATTTAAAAAAAATAGTAATTAGTTTGGCACAAAATAACGAGTAATAAGGTCAAAGGTGACTGCAAACGGTTGATAAGAAGACAGCAGGTTGCAGGCCTTTTTTGGGGCGGGGGCTGCAAACAATGTATAGCAGTTTGCATTTTGTTGTTAAGTATGATGTTAGTGATGGAAATATGTTCAGAATGTTGCTCTTTCTTGTAGTACTTAAATGTTGAAGTGGCCCTGCTATGAGATGACAATAGCAGCAGTGGCCCAAAGCTTACTTGAGTTTGTTGTAGAGGATTGATCTGAAAAGCATGAATATAAGACACAACCTTTCTGAGATTGGCTCACAAAAAGAGACACAATATGACATTTGTATAAACTATTACTTGTACATTTAGCCTCAGGCTGACCCTCAGTATAAAGGATGTTGATGCAGTGCTAGGTGGGAGTGGCTGGGTGTGTGCGGTACCTCTCTTGACAGCAGCCTTCCCAGCATCATACAGAGGATGTTGAGTGTCGGCCAGCCAAGGCTTGGCCCCGATCACCATGGTGACTTTCAGCTTGTTAGGACTCTTCCTCTTGGCAAACACTGAGTGAAGGTAGTCTGTTACCTAAAGCACCGAACCAGATAGGAGCAGAGGTAGTTTGTGGGAAGAAATAATCAGCTTATCCAAAAAACAAGCTGAGCGTTGACATCTGGTTTTACCTGTTTCTTGACCATAGCAGGGTCCATGTTGGGAACTTGTCTAATGGAGAACTTGGCAGTAACCTTAGCAGGGATGACTGTCTTTGTGCCCGGGTCTGAGAAGGCCCCCTCAATGCCATGTATGGAGACAGTGGGGTAGCGCCACATGTGGGCCAACAGGTCCACCTACAGGAAACATACAAAGACAATCATTTATCTTGCCTGAAAGTAGACTATTCTGAGCAGTTTTTTCCTTGTTCTCTTACCTTGTTGCTGTACATGAGCTCGTTGACACCGATCTTGTTCTTGTAGTTGTCGATGTCAAACTGGATGTCCTGGTACATTCTCCATTCCTCATCAGAGAGGGGAGCCACGGCCTCTCTGATCCCAGGAATCAGGATCTTACCGCTGGGGCTAATCATTGTGTCTAAGGTAAGAAGTTACAAGAGAATACATTTGAGGTGGGTTTAAATAGATTACATCTCACATTGTGTGGAGGTCAGATATAACAGGGTTGCAGGAGCTGGGAGGGATTCAGCACCGTGCTTAAAGATTCTTCAGTCTTGCTATAGAGCAGTGGTTCTCAACCTTTTTGGTGTCAAGGACCCCCACATAGATACACATCAGGCCATAGACTTGTATTTGATCCCGTCTAATAAAATTGAATTATTCCATAATTATCTATACTGTCTATTGGTAGATTAACAGTGAAGAGTGTGAAACCTATGAACAGAATAGTCATTATTCTCTCAGTTGGTTAGTCAATGAAATAATAGTGAAATTAAAATATTCTTTCTTTGCTGAAAGAACTGGAATCCAGGTTGAGAACCACTGCACTTTATGACTACACCTTCTAAAATTGTGCTTTGTAAAAGTTTAAAATAGTAACACATGACAAGGCTATGTTTAGTCATAATTATTCAAATATAATTAATAGTTACCACATAATAATCAATAATAAATCATACAAGATGTCACAGGCCTAAGGTACAGTACAATGCAGAGTGGAGGCAAATAAATAATTCCTGGGTTACAAACCAAAGGAGCTGGAAACCTCTGGGACTCTGAAAGCCACATGTCTCTGTTTCAATTAGGTTGTGGTAAATTCATTAAAAGAACTGAGCCTACTAACTGTGTGTGTATCAATGCCTGACATGTCTCCTTCCCCTGTGCCATATAACTCAGTTGTTGTCCAAAGACTATTAAAAACACATCAGTAAGCCACAGCCAGGTGAAATGTATTTTCATTACCATGAATACACACACTACAGTTCTGTATCTTCAACAGGGGGTCCTAAGAATTACTGCTTTTTTAATGGAAACAACCATAATAATAGTGATAATTTACACAACACTGTTGCTAGGCCAAGTTTAATATGAAACACACTTTATAAAATATGTAGCCCGGGGTCCCTGCTCTGTATCTCTATCGCTATGGGGTCCTTGGCCTGTAAAACACTAAAGGTCCCTGCTGTGGTTTATTTTGACTCAATCAGGATCCCGTACAATGAGCAGAGTATTGTATTCATTTACTTTATTTTTTTATTTATTTTTGGTAAAATTGTCAGTAACATGCCTTTCAAACATTTCAGTGTCCGTTAGGGTGCTGGTACTGCTGCACCAAACTCTCACTAGAGCACCAAATGCAGATGAATGCACCGCTGAAAATAGTCCCGAACAAAAATACTATTTCCTCCTAATTGAGTAACATTTGAATAAAAACCACAGAAGGGCTTGGAGCTGAGAGAGGAATAGACAGGATGTCAGAAAGTATTGAGAGGAAAGGTTTTGGTCTTTTCATGGTATCCAAAAATCCTGCTAGCCTTATCCTTCCACTAGTTTATGCTGCAATTCTGGTCAGATCTCACTTCATAAATAGATCAAGCAATCATGAGATTTCCTGTTTAAATATAGGGTGAATTAAAACAAAATAAAAGATTTGCCCTGTCTGTACCTGTCGTTCTGCTGATGCCTGACTGATCCCGGTTCAGTGTCTTATCTTCCTGTGACTGAGTGAATGAATGTGTTCTACCTAAAGATACACTCACCAAGAATTCCAACGAGGTCAGTCATTGGTTCGATCACAGTGCCCCCATAAACACCAGAATGTAAGTCCTGTTTAGGTCCTTCAACCTGCAAACACACCTCACCATGAAACAGCCTAGAAGAGCTGAATGACACCCAGATGCAGTGTGTGTGTGTGTGTGTGTGTGTGTGTGTGTGTGTGTGTGTGTGTGTGTGTGTGTGTGTGTGTGTGTGTGTGTGTGTGTGTGTGTGTGTGTGTGTGTGTGTGTCTGTGTGTCTGTGTGTGTGTGTGTCTGTGTATATGTGTGCATACACAACCTCAGCGTAGAAGTAGCAGTTGCCTCTGGTGCCGTAGGTGAGGGCGGGCCGTCTGCTGAGCCAGCCACAGTCTGAGATGATGATGTAATCTACGTCGGAGAAGAAAGTGTCCCTCTGGGCCAGGATCATGGCGTCCAGGCCGTTAGAGCCCGTCTCCTCCATGCCCTCAATGACAAACTTCACATTCACTGGCAGCTCCTGGTGGACAGAGAGGAAGTGACAGCACATGGTCAAGCTGGAGGATGAGCTGTTGAATCACATCTGAAAAACGGCTTATTTCTGGATGGCAAGAAAGCCTTTTTTGAAACTGTAATGGTGTTTGCAAACTCTAAAATCCTGAGCCATTAGCTGTGTGGGAAAGTAGTCTTTTCAACACCCACACAATTCCTTTCCCCTTTATGCATCCAGCTTCTGGCTGAGGCCTTTGGATGTTCATATGCAGCTGCGTTTACGAGACAAAGTGGCAGCAGGATAGCAGGAACAGACTGCCGCAGTGACTTTGCAAAAACAACAATGACTTTGCAAGTTATTCTGGCTAAAGTTTAGCTTTTCTGTCTCACTAGCCTGAGGGTATGCAGTTTGTTCCCGCCAAATACGTTGAGTATTTTATTCCACTTAAACAGTCAGGTTGAATAAATGGAAATTATCTTTTAGGGCTATCTTGTTGGAGATGTCTCTCTCTGTTTCCTCTCTTTTTATTTAAAGTGTTTTCAAGATGATTTTGCAAATAAATGCTATAATCTGTCCTTTGGTCTCACTTGGGCTCGCAATAGCTCCCTCTACCTAACACATTTGATTTTCAATTAATCTTTGGCATGAAAATCTATTCTGTACAGTGGTATTGTGAACTTTCTCTCACCATATTGAGGGCCTGGTAAGCCTCCACCGCGTGGATCCAGGCTAAAACTGGGGCCTTGTTGTCTGACGCTCCTCGTCCATAAAGGTTACCTGCAGACACAACAATCAGGGATTCTTAGTGGGCCCGGGGTTATGTAACACTGGAGACAGTGTGCTGACCTGTGTACCTGTGTAGATAAAGCACGGAATGTAAAAAAGTTCAATCTAATATAATCAAACTAGTAGTTATCATGTAAATCCCATGATAACAACTGAGCCATCTCTTTGACAACTGAGGAAAGTTGAAAGCTCCAGTAAAAGGTTGTAGGCTATGCTTGGATATAATTGGAGTTTTTTGTCAGTCTAATCTTATCTCATTTCAATGAAGGTTTTTGTAAATAAAATAAAAAAATAACATTCATTCCTACATAAACAGAATACAAAAACAGGATCAGTTCATACTTCTGCCAATTATATATTCCGAAAGGCAGAAATCTTAACGTCAAAACGTTCTGCAGGGGCGGATCTAGAGAAATATGGCATGGAGACTTTAAGGGATCACAGAAATATATGCTGATTTAATCACAAACAATCACATATATCAATATTTGTTTGAAAAAGCTATAAATATTTCATTACTGCAGCACATTGAATAGAATCTAAATGTGTGATAATTTTAACAATATTTTTTTTAAATATATAAAAATATATGTGTTAATTTTGACAGCATTTGACACCAAACTGGGGTGGCCACCCCATGGCACCCCTCTAGATCTGCCTCTTTATCTTAGACGTTGTTATCATGAGTGTAGACACAGTGCCATATACCCATAAATCCTTCTGGCAAAGCAATAAAATAAAAATAAAAATAAATAAATATACCTCCCCCAATTTTGATATATAAAAAATAATATATATATATATAATGAATATCTGAATGTGTATATATCTTTTTTAAAAAGAAAAATGTTGATGACAGGCAACCACGCGTCGTTATCTGAAATAATCATTTGCAAATGTAATATATATCATAACTAAACAAATTGCCTTGGGCTGTAACAGTAATAAAAGAGCAGCCATACAGATTAAACAAGTAAGCTAAGACCAACTGGTGGAAAAGTGAAAGTTAGGACAGCTTAAAAATGTGTTTATTTAAGATTTTAGGAGGTTAGGATAAAGTTTCTCTAATATGGCTCCAGTTTCCTTTAATTTTTTTCTCAGTATCACATATATATATAGGCTGTGTATCAGTTTGTTTCAGCTCTTGTTTGAAGCTATTTGATGTCCACGCTGAATTAAATATTCAAATCTACGTTTGATCACCACGTTGTGGCTGTACCATTCCATCAGATGGAAATATTGTAGATGTTTATAATTATTAAGTCCCTTCATACCCATTTCACCCAGATTTAGCCTGACATTTGGCATCTTTGAAGATGAAGTTATGTGGGTTCAATAATGGCGCCTGAAGAGCTTAAAGGCAGTTACCATTGATGTCGGTCAGGTTGTAGGGATCCGTTGCCCAGCCGTCCTCTAGCTTCGCCGGCTGGACGTCCACATGGCCGTAGACACACACTGTGTGTTTGTTTGGGTCGTTGCCAAACTGAGCTGTCACCACTTTAGGCAACGCTAACGTCTGTCCGTCAGGAAGCTGCAGACATTAAAGGAGAGTTAACACCAGCATGGGCTGTTGCACTGATATATAGTTTATTTTTCCATCCCTCAATCACTTTGATTTCCAGGTTTCTCAACTTCTGTGGAACCCTGAGGGGCAGCTCTGTTTTTATTTGTTGCTACAATATCACCTGACCACTAATGAATTAGCTACACACTGCACGATCTCAATCTGTGTGTATATTTCTAAGGATATAACAAAGGAATTTCAATGATTCAGTGAGTAGTGAGTGTGTAACATGGAAACAGTGGTAATCGTACAGGAAGGAAGGGCTTCTGTGTTTCCAAAATAAGCAAGTCAGTGTAGCTTGGTGTCAAAGGGCCATCAGCTATAGTTTTTACCATTCACTAAGACAATATAATGCAGTAACAATTCAAGCTATGTGGGTCCTAATTACTGCTGAGAAGCTGAGATTGTTGACCTCTAGTCTGACCTCACATACGCTATATGTCTAATGAGTTTGGGAAGCCGCTTTGATGTGTCTCAGTCTGTAATGAGGAGGTAGATTTAGTCCTGACCACTCCGCCGCCTTTTTGAAGTTAGCAGCTCGTTTTCCTTCCCTGACAAGAAAAGCTCTGTTTGAAATACAGAATATTTACTGACCAATTAGGGTGATGATTATGTACAAAGCTCTGATATTGCTGTATTGCAGCATTTATGAAAGGTGGGGAGGCACCGGCTCACTGACTTCTTGTTCTCCGATGTCCACCAGCTCTACAGTCCCTCCCATCAGCCTCAGCTTCTGAGCCGCCATCTCCATCATGCGGTGTAGGTCTGGTCTCTTCAAGACGTTGCTGGAGTCGCTCTCGATTGCAACCCAATCCCGCAGAGCCTAATAGACAAACACACACATACAACACACACACACACACACACACACACACACACACACACACACACACACACACACACACACACACACACACAACGTTCAAAACATCAGCATTGAGTTTAATCTAATCCTTCTGTCATATTGTAAAACAGCGGTTGTAAAACCGGGGTCCCTGGACCAAAAGAGGTCCTTGAAGGGGGATAAAGGAGGAATACACTGTTTTAACTTTTATCATCTTTATTAAGAAGAATTTGGGTTTTATTGATTGTAATTGATCATTTATTGATAGTATTTTATAGTGATACAAGTTTGATCAATGTTTGACTATGAAGCCTTTATTCCTTTGAAACATAAAACTATAATAATTACTCAGGGGGGATTCTTTCAGACAAAATCCTCTTAAATTAGGGGGGTCCAGAGTCTAATGTGCATCTATTGAGGACGTTTGGGAGGTTTGGGAAACACTGGTCTAGGGTAGAGAAAATACAAGAAGCAAGCTGTATGCTCTTCATAAAAAGTTGCTTGTTATACTTCAGCTGTTTAATTAAAGGAGCAGTGTGTAGGATTTAGTGGCATCTAGCGGGGAAGTAGCAGATTGCAACCAACTGAATACTGCTCACATTGATATTTAATGACCTGAGAATGAGAACTTCCAAGGAATATGTAGGAGAAACTATGGCGGCTGCAAAACCTGTGAGAAAACATGAAAGCCTCTATATACAGCCCGTGTTTGGTTTGTCCATTCTGGGCTACTGTAGAAACGTGATGGTTTAACATGGGAGACTCCATAGAAGAGGACCCACTCCCTCTGTAGATAAAAACAGCTCATTCTAAGGTAACACAATGATTCTTATTTTCAGTGATTATACACTAATGAAAACATACCTATGAATATTATATTCCTTTTTTGACAATAGATCCTCCTCAGTGTTACACAGTGGACCTTTAAAAGGGACTATGTTTTGCTGAGCAGTGGAGATATGAACCGTGCCCACTAACACTGATGACTGTTATATGGAGCATTTTAGGAATTGGTTTGTGTTTTCAAAATGATGTTTATGATGTGTAAGCATTTTCTTGATTCTTTTTTGTGTTCAACCAACCTGATCTATGATCAAGATGATCTGGTTCTGTTTATCACTGTAAAACACAACACTGTCCATCCAGGTTGCTTCATTTTGACATTTTACACCTTGTAGGGGCAGGCAATAGCAAAAATAAAAAATAAATAAAAGTTAAAATAGAAATGACAGAAAAGCTTTTATGTTGAAAATGAAAGCTCTGTCAACCTATTTAGGCCTCGTTTTACCTTGGTTCCATAAGTTCACTTGTTTATATTGTTTAATGAATCTGTACAATACACTCTAATAAATATTTTGTATTAACTATACAAATGTATAATGCTAAAGGAAGAAGAAGAAGATTTTGTACCTCCACATATTCTTCTTGATGGCTGTCAATGTACTGCACCAGCTCTGAATACTGGAAAGCATGGACAGTAGAAATGACCAGCAGGATGGAGGACAGAAGTGCAAGATCCATCTGTTGGGAAGGTCAGAAACTGAGTCACTGATGTCTGTATAAAGGTCATCACTGCATCAGAGTATATCTGATTTCACTGTGATTGCACCCTATATGATTAGATATGACACATACAGTAAACCTGGTTAATATACAGACTGCTCGCTTGTAAACATACACACATTTATTGACAAGCTAATGTTCAAACATATGTTCTGTACACTTGTCTCATTTTGGACTGGAACTGTTTTTGTTTTTAATTAATCTGCTGATTATTTATCCAATTAATCGTTAGTCAATAATATGTTCAGGATGAAGTCTTTAAATGTCTTATTTTGTTTAACTAAAACCCAGATATTCACTTTATAGTGATATATAACAATAGCAGCAATTCCTCTCATCTGGGAGCCTGGAACTAGAAATTGTTTTGGAATTTTTTCACAATTTTTCCTTCAAACCTGAACAAACCCAACTATTAGAATCGCTGCCAATTATTTTTCTGTTGATCTACGGATCTATTAATTTACTTGATTCCCACACAGAAAGGATATAATGTCGACTAATCTAGTTTTGTTAACAACAGTCAAATTTAAAGATATTCAGGCTAAAATAAGTTTTTAAAACCCTGAAACTCATCAGCTTACAATATAGTTTATCACACCCACCCAGTGGATGGCCCTTGGTCTTACCTTTTCTCTGCTGGAGATGTGTGTGACAGTCTTCTCAGGCAGGCAGACCGTGGTCCCGCGGTGTTGTCTGGACATTTATATACCCTCCCTTCATATCACACTCCTACTGGGCCCCGGGGTCACACAGTCAAACATTTCCTGACACAGTGCCAAGACAGCTGACAAATTAAATTTTTCTTGCTGACAGGCACAAGAATTACACTCAATCTATTGATCCGGCTCCAAGAATGCACACAGGGGCTCAGCAGGAACAAAAGCAGCGTGGTGAATTCCTGTTGTTTGTGTTTTGGAATCTCCATGCAAACCCCCAGTTACAGAAAAGTAGAGCGGCTTTTCTTGTTCCATATTAGGCGGGCGCCCCATGGTGCTGAACTTAACTTTGAGCTACTTGTAAGCATTCCTAGTTGACATGCAGCTGTATTAGATTATTACTCTAAAACAGGATTGTCTGAAAATATTTAATCCAATCACCTCTTCATGTTCATTGGATAAATTGTCCCAGGTAAAAACTTCCTGTCTCTTTCTGTGTGTCCCAGTGTGAGACAGGACAAGAGGCCGGGGATTTGCCACGCTCACATGAAAATAAAACCGACGGGGGGTCAACAAACCAGAGCTTTTAGCTGGCAAGCCAAACTTTTTGTTTGCATGTGTTTGAGTTGGATTTTTACTTTCCATGAGGATTTAAATTAACAGGGATTTGAAAGGAAAAAAGGTGCCAAAAATGACCTGAAGTCTTCCCTAAACTGATATTTAAAGCTGCAGTAGGTAACTTTTATAAAAATAACTTTTTGTCATATTTGCTGAAACTTTCACTATATCCTGAGAGTATTATAAATTAATACTTGTTTCAAATTATGCTATATTTATTAGAAAAATATTTACAGGTTCGGGCTTCAGAGTAATGGCTGTATACAAATTGCAATTTATTTTTTTTTATTTTTTTATTTTAAAGGTAGTACAAAGGGAACTATATATAAATGTAATTTAACAACAATGTAAATGGCAATGAAATAAGACTGAATCATTGAAGCTGCTAATATCTGTACTTCCAGGACACCATCTACTTGTGTGATAACTATACATTATCTGTAATGGATTCTTCTTTCAGTTAGCTCAGCTCTTGTTAATACGCATGTTTTTGGACTGTGGGGAGGAAACCGGAGCGCCCGGGGAAAACCCATGTAGACACGGAGAGAACGTGTAAGTACGACAATGAAAATTTGGAACACATCTTCCTTGCAGTGCGTAAGATCTGTGTAATCAACACGGTGATTCCCGCGTAAGCACCGTGTTGCCTATGATATACCTTCATGACTTTAAAATCTGCACTGGAGATGTTTATACACTTGATCATCCTGGAGAAGAACTAACTGTATAGTTAAGCTAAGCTGCATTTTTTTGGACTGTGGGAGAAAACCGGAGTGCTCGGGGAAAACCCACGCAGACACGGAGAGCGCGTGTAAACACGACACCGAAAAGCAAGTTTGAGGACAGATCCTCCTTGCTGTGTGGTGCCGGTGATACACACCGTGTTGCCTATGATATTTCAGTCATCTACACTGGAGCAGCTTATACGCTTGAACATCTTAGAGAAGAATTTGCCGATCCTCTTGAACCACTTCTTCCTGCATTTGACTTCAACAAAGCATGCGGTTCCGTCATCACTGCTAGTGTTGATCTCATCTAAATTTTGATTAACACAAGCAGGTGGTTTCTTATCGGCCATAGTAACGGGTATTTCATCTGTGGCTGGTGATCCAATACTAGTTTCTTCATCGTCTTTTGACAGTGTGTCCTCGCTGATCCTAGTAACTTCGCTGGACGTTACAAAACGCTCAAACTTGACTGACGGCTGCTCCAGCTGGCTGTTTTTTATGGTCAGACGGGCTGATGTCACATAACTGTTGTCGATGGTGTTACCATTCAAGTGTGTCATTGTGATAAATCTGTGCCCTAAAGCTTGGCTGGGGGTGATTCTTCTTTCAGCATCCACTTGTAGCATGCCTTTGAGGAGGCTTATGAAGGCGAGTGTGTCCTGATACTCGGGGCCATCCTTGACTTCTGGGTAGATCTTTGCCAAGTCATCGAGACTGGTTAACTTTTCAAAAACGCCTTTAGTTATTCTGTTGTCGCAGAATGTTGCGAGCTTGTATTCGGCTGGTGTATTCAGCCTCCAAATAGAAGTGTGGGAGCCTTTCTTTTCCTTTTTGAAAAATACCTTAGCACGACTTGCAGCTTTTAGCAGGTGATTTCCAGGCTGACCCTGCATATTCACAATGACTTTCATGACCTCATACTCACACCTTGTTGGGTACAGGTGCTTGCCTAGGTACAGGAAAGCCAAAAGGCAGCCAAGCCCCCACATATCGATGGCCTCATTCAGTGGGAGGCCCAAAATAACCTCTGGGGCCCTGTAACCAAGACCTTGAATGAGGATGTTGCGTGGCTTTTTGGAAACCAGAAATGCCTGACCGAAATCAATAAGTTTTACCTTGAAGGGTTGCAACTTATGATTAACCAGCATTACATTGTCTGGCTTGATGTCTGCATGTGCCAGACCTATGCTCTTGAGGCTGTTCAGAGCCACCAGCATCTGTTGTGTGATTACTCTGATCTCAGACAACTGCAGTGGCTCAAAACAACTCTCCTTCATCATGTCATAAAGGCTCATGTCCAGCATTTCAAATGCCAGGCAAACATGTCCGTCATCTGTAAAATGCTCAACAAACCTAACTAAGTTATTTTCATTTTGTTGAAGTCCTGTGAGTTGTCCCAGCATGGCCAACTCCTTTTTAGCGGCCCAGGGCATGTCCTTCCGCACAATCTTCACAGCAATCTTCTCCTGAGTGCTCACATTTATGCACTGGGCCACTTTTCCATAAGTCCCCTCTCCGAGGAACTTAATTATCTGGTAAAGTTTGGTTTTACCACACAGAAATTCTTTTATCTTGTGGTTTCCTTTTGCTTCTTTGTCACCTGCCATGTCTAAAGGTTTAATGGTTCCAATAATATTTAGTGGACTTGCTTCTCACCTTTAAAACTCTCCCTTGGTATCCTATCGACCTACTTATAAGAGACGTGACAAGTGACGTCATAAAGAAGTTCACGCGTCAGTTCGGCTCTGATCTCAGATCAAAGGACGGCGGGGTTAAATCCTGACGTCACATTTAGAATGCTGAGCCCTGTTGTTGTTGTTGTTGTTATTTAAATAGCAACATAACAATTATGTGTAGTTTGAAAAAGACTCCCGCTGTCTGCAGAAGGGCTATTATCAGCGATATTATAATGGTGTAAGCAATAGTCTGTCTCAGCAGTATAAAGAAATTATTCCCTGACGACTGCTCTGAACTTTATTATTATTATTATGTATGCTTTATTCATTTATTCATTTATGATAGAGTCAAATGAGACGTATTTAAAGTCTCATTTTAATGTTCCACAAAAAGACAAAAAAAAAATGTAGAGATTGAAAAATAACATCACAAAGAGCAGCACATATCTACAGGCTAACGGTCTCAACGGTTCTCAGACAAAGTCCCAATGATCAGCAGTGGAGGTGTGCACGCAGCCAAACCCCAGAGAGACCGACCCGTTTGGACTCGGGGAACGGACAGATTGTCGGGCATTTTCTTTACTTTGGATCTTCTCTGTGACAGCATTTCATCTGTACAACGAGGGTGCAAACACAAGTGTAATCCATGCTCTCATCATGTTTAATGCATTCCTGTTGCTCACCATTGACACATCAGTTAGTCACTGCGGTCAAGCCAGCCGTAACTTCGATCTCCGTGGTCAAATCAGCCGCACGTAAATTTCAACTGTGCGAGTATTCTCAGCATTACGGTAAAGGCGGACAAACAGCGTATTCACTTCCGGTTTTCAAAATAAAGGTATTATGAACATTAAGCTATAATTCAAACCTACATTTAAAATAAAATATGTTGCATTAAAGTTTTCCATGCGCCCATGATGAATAAAAAACACCTAATATCGAGTATCTTTACTGCGCCAGTGTGGAGAAATGCAAAAAATAAAAGTCCCATATTTATGCCTCCAGAGATTGCATATTTGACCATATTTGAGCTACTGTAAAAACATATTGCTCAATAATTCCTAACTATGGATGGTATATTTGACTTCTACACGTATACGACTACAAGTATACTTAATATCAAGCATTTTTACTGCAGCAATTTGGAGAAATTTAAGAACATAATTCCATATTTATGCCTCCAAGCGGCATATTTTCTTATATTTAAGCTACTGTAAAATAATATTGCTCAATATTTCCTGGCTAAGGATGGTATATTTGACTTCTGCACATCTAAGACTACAAGCATACTTAATATCAAGCATTTTTACTGTACCAATTTGGAGAAATGTAAGAATAAATGTCCATATTTGTGCCTCCAAGTGGCATATTTGACCATATTTGGGCTACTGTAAAATAATATTGCTCAATAATTCCTGGCTATGGATGATATATTTGACTTCTACACATCTAAGACTACAAGTATACTTAATATCAAGCATTTTTACGGTACCAATTTGGAGAAATTTAAGAACAAAAGTCCATATTTCTACCTCCAAGTGACATATTTTCATATATTTGAGCTACTGTAAAAATATATTGCTCAATATTTCCTGGCTATGGATGGTATATCTGACTTCTGCACATCTAAGACTACACACACACTCAATATCATCAATTTCATTGTGTGCCCACATGGTGGCAGTACAGGACAGAGGGACAGATAAGTATTTATTTTTTTTCCAAAACAATGGAATAATAATGGCTTTTCCCACGTTATATTAGTCCACGAACGCATCACGGAAAGACGTCAGGATGGCCGAGCGGTCTAAGGCGCTGCGTTCAGGTCGCAGTCTCCTCTGGAGGCGTGGGTTCGAATCCCACTTCTGACAGAACTGTTTTCCCTGGCACTGTGCTCTAGTGGTCAATAAATAACAGCTTAACAAGTTTAAATCATGAAAAAGCTTACACATTATAAACACATCACTTTGAAAACACAAACCAATTCCTAAAATGCTCCATTCATCATTCAACAGTCATCAGAGTGATTGCAGTCAGG